AAGGTAACATCATCAGTGCTAGTGAGTGTGGGGTTTGCTCCCTGTTTATATACAATAGCTTCCCTTGCCAGTGATGCTGCACATGTGGTTTTCTCCTTGGTAGATCCTTGATTAGGGCATTGCTTTCTGCTTAATTGTTTGTCTGGTGTTAATCCCTGCTTAACTGGGTATTGGCTGCTGGAAAGGAAGTGTTCTGGTCTTTTGGTTTCCCTTTTAGCTTTTTTATTGTCTGTTTCAAATGGTGTATAAATGTGGTTTATCTCTATGTGTTTATTGATGCCTGATCTGTCTAAATGCCAAGCTTCCAGGAATTCCCTAGCATTAAGGAATTTTCATTGTGTCTTCTGACTGTTAGTTGGTGTTCATGGATGCCTCTGCTAGCCTGTCTGTCCTACACAGTGGCTGTTACAGTATTAACATATTAACATTCAGGCGAGTACAAACACAGTGCAGCAACCCAGAACTCCAGAAAAAGGAAACAGACTGCCTATATAACATCTTCCAGCAAAATGGATACCCATGCAACTTTATCACACAAACCAACTAAAGCCCTCCAAAACATCTTAAGTAAACCAAAAGACCCAGTAGCCCAAGAAGAAAAACAAGAAGTCATCTACAATATGCAATGTAAGGACTGTAACAGCCACTATATAGGACAGACAGGCAGAAGACTAGCAGAGCGCATTCATGAACACCAACTAGCAATCAGAAGACATGATAAAAACTCCTTAATCTCACAACACATGGACAGACTTAACTATAGTTTCAACTGGGAAACTGTGAGCATCCTAGACCAAGCTAAATCCAAAACCACTAGGGAATTCCTGGAAGCTCGAATACATCCAAAACACATCCTCTCCAGCAGCCAACAAGCAGGGATTAACACCAGACAAACAACCAAACAGAAAACAATACCCTAATCAAGGAACTACCAAGGAGAAAACTATACCCCCACCAACACTGGCAGGGCAAGCTACTGAATATAGAGAGGGAGCGAACCCCCACATACACTAGCACTGATGATGTTACCTAGTTGGGTAATGAAACGTATGCAAGCTCAGAGAGCACCAAGGACTCCACAGTTCTGTTGCTGTGCTGGCATGATGGGGACAAAAAGATCATTTCACCTTAGTACCTTTTTAAAGGAAATAGCT